GCAATCCACTCACCTCAGCCTCCCAAGACACGGGATTACAGGCTGAGCCACCGAGCCCGGTTTGAAACAGGTTTTAAAGAGGGGACGATCGCCTGGGCAACTTGGCGAGACCTCATCTCTGCAATAAATAAAAAAATTAGCCGGGCGTGGCAGTACTCGCCTGTAGTTCCAGCTACTTGAGGCTGAGGCGGAAGGATCGGAGCCCAACAGGTTGAGGCTGCGGTGGCCGGGAGCGTGTCACTGCCCTCCAGCCTGGGCGACAGAGTGAGACTCCAGCTAAAAAAAAAAAAAGAGCTGACGATGATGATATTGAAGATTGTGTCCTGCTAGATGGGATGGAAGTGGCCTACCTGCTAGGGCACTCTGTTTTTTCCCCCTACGACTTAGCTCTGACTTTCATCAGTTGTAAGTTAGTGCAACTCAGTGGTGCCAGCCTCTTTTATAAATGTTTAATTCTCTTGAGAGGATGGACAGTGATTACTAGTCAGCAATGATGGTAAAGCAGCTAAGAAGCTATCCAAGTAAACTAAACTGTTGTTTGATCCCTATAGTTTTTGAGTTCACATAAGGATTAGGGGAGGCCTGAAATTACTTCCTGGTTTGCTAACTTTGGTTGTTTTATCTCTAATAGTTGTATAAATTAAATCATTCTATAGATTGGGAAAAGTGGAACCATTATTAAATTAATGGTAACCAATTTCAACAACCCTTTTCTACTATGGCTGTAACCATTTTACTCTCCCACAGTTCTCTGCCCTTTCTTTTCCCTCAGCATATAAGAGGAAGAGGATTAGGGTGTTTCATGACAAAGGGAGGTTGTGCTGAACTCATGAACAAATAGGGAGCAAAATAGGGGAAGGCAGGGATAGGTGGTCAACTAGAGGGAGGGTGGCACGTTCAAGGAACCGTAAGTTTAGATAAGAGGTGATAGAAGCTTTAAGAAGATGGCAGTTGTGGGAATGGAGAGACTTAGGGTGGATATAGATCACCTGGGTGGTGCAATTGGACAGTATTTGGTGATTAAATGATTATGAAGTTGAGGAAGAGCGGTTCTGAGAATTCCAAATTTCTAGCCTGAGCACCTCTGTGAAATGTGATGTGTGCTACTGAGTTAGGCACGCAGGAAGTATGGGGTTTGCAGGTGTTGATTGTTGAATATAAGGAGATCCTGAACCATCTATTTGAAGATGTTGAGTAGGTGTTGGGACTTGGACCAGATGGACTGGAGATAGATTTTTTTTTGAGTTAGGGAACTGTGAGTGTGGAAGAGATTCTCAAAAGAGAGAGAGTAGAGAAGAGAAGGTAGTCTAATGTTGAACCTTAAGCCTCTTCAACATGTAAAGGCCTAATAGAGAGTAAAAACTGACAAGGCTGCTGAGTGGGCACCAGAGAGGTAGAAGAAAACAAGGACTGTGGCGTGTAGAAGAAACAAGGACTGAAGCCAGGGAGGGGAGGGTTTCAAGAAGGAAGATGTGATTCGTTATGCAGGTTGTTATGGGAGGGTCAAATAAAAAAAGACAAAAAGTGACTGGTTTGGTGACCTATATAGGGCCTTCTTGGTGGGGATTCCAGATAATTACTCCTTGATCCTTCTCCTTGGAGCTTCTTGCCATCATCTGTGTCTATAGCTTTCTTCAATTCTAACACCCTTTCCAGTGATTCAAGAGAGGTTGCCTTTGCCACCTGTGTTTTGCATATTAGATGCTACAGTAGAAGTATATATATTTTTTATTCATTTACCACCTTCTAACTTTAATTTTGAGGCAGGGTGTCACTCTTTCACCCAGACTGGAATGCAGTGGCACAATTACAGCTCACCACAGCCTCAACCTCCTGGGCTCAGGTGATCCACCTCAGCCTCACGAGTAGCTGGGACTGCAGGCATGCCCCACCGCACCTGGCTAATTAAAAAAAAATTTTTTTAGAGATGAGGTCTCGCCATGTTGCCCAGGCTGGTCTTGAACTTCTGGGCTCAAGCTGTCCTCTTGCCTCGGCCTCCCAAAGTGTTGGGATTACAGGCGTGAACCACCACGCCCGGCCACACTGCCACTTTTTACCTTTAAATTTCCAGTGCCCTTTACCTTCATGCAGTTTCAGCCACTTACTTTCATGACTGCACCCCGGATTTTAAAGTTGGACATGCTCCTCTTTGATCATCACTTTCCATCTCTCTAGCTCACTGTCACCTCTCCCTGGGCTTAGACTGGTCAAGGCTTTCCATGCCTTACCTCCTTTACTGCCTTTTTTCTGTCTTTCCCCTTCTCCTTTTGCTTCTGTCTCCAGTGTAGGTCACTTTAGCCACTCTTTCAGTATCTCAGCTTCCTTGTTCCATCTTCTTTCATCGCACCCACATGGCAAAATCCCAGCTGTGGCACAATTGCTAAGTGAGTCCTGTTCAAGAAAACCACACAATTGAAATGCACTTAGCATTGCTTTTTTTGTTGTTGTTGAGACAGTGTTATTCTTTGTCACCCAGGCTGATGTGCAGTGGCATGATCATGACTCAACATAGCCTTGAACTCCTGGGCTCATGAGATCCTCCCGCCTCAGCTTCCTGAGTAGCTGGTACTACAGGCATGCATTGCCATACCCAACTAC